TGGATGGGCGATTCTGTTGAGACAACATCAGGGAGGTGAGTTGTGTTACCTGTTGTGTGAGTGCCGCCAGGTCATGTTGCTGCTGCTGCAGTGCCTGAGCTAGTTGTGAGTTGGTGGTTTGCCTGCACCGGAGTCAGCAGGGTCCATGTTGGCCAGTTCTTTCTGTTAGGATGGCTCGAACACAGAGCCATCCTAACAGTGTCAACTAGTCTTACAAGTTTTCACTGAGCTTTCATTAAAACGAGCTGAAACTGCACAGTCTACCCCGATTATCAGGAATTACCATTTCATGTCACATCACATTTCATGTAACTTTATATCATAAAAACAAAGTAATGTGTGTAAATCTTACTTATCACATTTGGGTCATTTTTCCCATGTTTATCTTCAATATTGTAGCTATATGGCTACAATATCTGGTGTAAGTCAACAGTTTAGCATTTTAAGTGCACTAGATCAAGTTAGTAATATGTACATGCACAAAGCATAGACACGTTGCTTGCCTCTTAGCCAGGGACTCACAGCAGTGATGATGTTTTCAGAATTAAAATTAATACGCTGTACCAAGTTATTTTAAAATGTGTAAATTGTTGATATTATCTATTGTTGATATTTGGTCATAATAATGGTCAGTGTAACTTGTTAGAGCAGTTGTGGCTCTACACATCAGTATATAAATTGCTCCTGTCTCCCTCCAGGTATATCCACTGTCAGTGCGACTGCCTTTTAAAGGGAATGGTAAATTGCATTTTAATTGGTTTATTGCATGTTATGCCCAAAACATACCCAAGGGTAAATTAAGAAAGTAAGGTCAACTGTTTTAAAACAATTGCCAGACACAGATCTACTTTCTGCACCATCAAAATTGAAGAATTGGTCTGAAGACAACCTGTATACACTTTGATTGTTGTGCCATGAAAGGTGTGCTTTAGATCATCAAAATAGGGCCCCACGAGTCTGTGTCTGTCCAAGTGCAAGTGGAAATCATGAACAGGTCTTTAAGTTCTCCCAGTATGAGTCAACTAACATCCATCCACCCATCCATCTTCATCCACTTCATCCGGGACCGGGTCGCATGGGCAGAAGCCTGAGCAGAGCCTCCCAGACTTCCCTCTCTCCACACACCTTCTCTAGCTCCTCTGGATATTTATTTCCAGAGGTTCAAATGTCTGGCATAATTTCTCATTTAGCAAAAGAAGTGGACAGCTAAATAACCTGTTAAATACACAGTTCCCATTTGAGTCTAACTTAACATTTCTATCTTACAGTTTAGAAATGCTGGAAAGACAACTTACATGCCACAGCATCACATATAAGGAATTAAAGGGAATTTTACTTTTTGGGAGGAACCTGGCCCACATTGACTCGGACACAGATGACCTTGCGTGTTTGCATCCCAACTGAGCAGGCTGCACTGTCTCCGTATGGCTGGCCCACAGACATGTTGGTGGTCAGAATGGAAGAGTCCTCTATACACTGGCCCCATGGGCCAGTTTGCCAGTGGTACACAGTGCAGGGATGGTCATTGCAGTTCCTTACTTCCTGCAGGGCACTGATGTTGGGGCATAGAACTCCTCCTGAGAAACAACAGAACAGCACAGAACAACATCAGCCTTACTTCAGATGAAAAGAAAAATCATATTAGCACTAATACTGGAAGTTGGAAAACTTGTAAGCTTCTGGAAACGGGCAGATATTCTAGTAATCATGAATGGCAAAGACATACCCAAGAAAATACATGTGTGTAAATAGTCTAAAGTACTAAAATCTGGTGTCTACTGTACATTGAATCTGGATTGAGACCCTTCTATACAGTAGTATCGTTACTGTCTCACTGCTGTGGATGGATTGTCTGTGACTTGGCCCTATTTCAAGTCGGTCTTCATCCCCATAGAAACTGCTTAGATTTGACTTTGGATGTGACTTTGGCCTGTCAGAACTGTAAGGTAATGTTGTTCAGTGTGCTTTGGTCCCAGGTCTTTTACTGGAATATAGATCCTTGGATCTGTCATGTACAAGAATCACCAAATAAGGATATAAAGAGAAGCAGAGGCACAAGCTGCTATCACATTAGCGGCAGAACACCAAGACCTGCAGCCCTTCACAAATGCAGTGAGCAAATGAATGAATAATTGCACTGCCAGTATGAACTGCCAGTATGCTGCACTGAGTTGGTTTATTGTGTTGCAGATTTTATTGTCAGTGGTTAATATTTCCGTTTTTTTTTCCCATTAGTCTACACTAAACAAGCTGTAACAACAAAAAGAAAACATATTTAGAAATGTTATAAAAAATCAAAAACTGGAAACTCTCCTTCACAAAAGTATTCAGAGCCTTTACTGTGGCACCTCAACTTGTGGTCGGGACCCTGTTCAGGAATAAGAGGTATAGATAATGGATGGATTAATTATCCTTGCATCGATAGAATGACTGGAGTCTACCTGTGGCAAAATGAACTGACATAATTTAGAAAGGCACACATCTGTATATGGCCCTACAACTTACACTGGTTGTCAGAACAAAAACAAGACATGAAGTCCAAACAACTTTCTGTAGACTGTAAGCAAAAAAAAAAAAAAACTATTGTGAGGCATAAATCAGGACAAGTGTATAAAACTATTTATTTGCAATGGAAGTCTGGCAACCAGCAGGACTCTTCTTTTCAGTTGGCCACCCTGTCAAACTGAGTAACTGGACAAGAGAAGGAAGTGACCAAGAACCCAGCGATCACTCTAACAGATCTTCAAAAGAACTCTGCAGAAAAGAGAGAACCCGCTGGTTTATGGTAGAGGTGGGGCTCAGAGGGTAGAGCAGATTATCTCCAAACCAGAGCATTAGTGGTTCGATTCCTGGCTTCTCCAGTCCACATGTCAAAGTGTTCTTGAACAAAACCCTGAACCCCAAGTTGCTCCCAGTGAGTGTGCTTTAAAGCATTATACAAGTGTAAGTCATTTTACCAGTTTATTTGGAGCAGCTGACAGAAGATGCTGAGTAAAAAGCATATGACTGCTGCTTGAAGTTTCATAAACAACAGTTAAAAGACAGAGCATAAGGATCTGGTCTGATGAGAAAAAAGGTAAACATTTGGGCAGGCTTCCAGTCACTATGTATGGCAAACACCATGTACTGCTCATCACCTGGATGATACCACCTTGACGGTGAAGCATGGTGGTGGCAGCACTATGCTGTGGGGATGCTTCTCAGCAGCAAGGACAGGGATACAAAGCATGTAGCCAAGACAGTATAGTAGTGCCTTCAGGAGACATCTCTGACTGTCTGGCTCAGCCAAAGCCCAGAATTACACCCCATAGAACATCTCTGGAGAGACCTGAAAATGGCAGTTCACAGATGGACAGATCTGACCGACCTTAAGAGGATCTGCCAGGAAGTATTAGATAAACTGCTCAAATCCAGGTGTGCAAAGCTTCTAGAGATTTACCCAAGAATATGTGAAACTGTAACTGCTGTCAAAGAGGCTTCTACAAAGTACTGAATTAAAGGTCTGAATAATTTTGAAAATTAGCCATTTCAGTTTTTGATCTTTCATAATTTTAATAATAATTGCAAAAATTTCTTTAAAGATGTTTTTACTTTGTCATTGTGGGTTAATCAGACAAACACAGTAAAGTGTGCAAAGTTAAGGGTTCTGAATACTTTCTGAAGCCACAGTATATGTAAGGCTAGCAAAAATACTTGCCTTTAACAGGACGATATGACAAGAAACACTCACTGCCAAGTAAAATGTCTAACTCTGCTGGCTGTACTGTTCTGTTTGCCAAGAAATGTGTACTGCATGCTGGGAGCGTACATACCAACACACCAGCTGGAATGTAACTTCTTGCCAGAACACACTTGCTTTCACTGTCTTTAGGAATTGATATTTAAGTTCTGCTACTTGACATTAAAGCTGTAATCTGGCTGGAATCCTATTGCCCATCACAGGCTACTTTAAGATTGTCTTGTTGTAATCTTCTACTTATATGCATTGTTTGTTTTTTTTACCTTATGTTTTCTCGCATCTTAGTCTCGTTATTTTATATTTTGTGTATTTTGCTCATTTACTTCCTTTTCATTGTTGTTACTCTCTGTACCTTTTCTTTTTAGTGTGAAGCACTTTGAACTGTATTCAATATAAATAACATATTATTGGATTATTAAAATGTATAAAGACACTGTGGGGCAGAAATGTCTGTCAATATAAAGAGCACTGATTTCATAGAGTATATAAGCAGAGCAGTGGAGAAATGACTGAGAATGTTTCACAATAAGCAGCTATTGTGGCTGGACAAAGAAAAGGGAGCTACCTTCAGAAAATCAGTCATTCAAGGAAATCCTAATACAGTGTATTGTCCATTTCAAGACCTCAGTTTAAAAGTGATGTCTGTACCAAAGAACCGAAAAGAAAGATAAATAACTGAATTCATTACTACTTCTAAAACTGCATTACTGCTCCCTCTGAAACATATTGGCCAATTATCTGGTTCTACTTTTCTCTCTGCAGTTTGTAAGAGGGCACCGTATGCTGGGGCAAAGAGAATGTACAGCTGTATGCAAAAGTTGGAGCACCCATGGGCAAATTATATGTTGTGTTGATTTTTGAAGTGACAAACAGTGACTATAAACCCTGCAGCAAAAATGTGTCCTTTTCAAATGTTAAGGTACTGTAGCCTTTTATATCACAAACTTAAAAAATAGAGTAATTGGTTAGAGTACTGTGACGTGCAAAAGCTGGAATGCCATTCTATTTGTATAATATTCATGAACTCTAGGCCG